GCATATGACCTTAACGAACCTACTTACGGAACATACATCTAAGGAAAAGCTACATAGTGTTACGCTAAATATTTGTCACCGCTAAGATCATCATAGTTCTTTGATCTCCGGATTTTTCCAAAATGTCAAAACGTGTGCGTGTAAGAGGTTCAAAAGTTATATATTTTTGGAGGATCCAATACATATATAGCAACATTATTAAAGGATCCAAGCAACATAGTAATAATAAGATAATTTTATTGCTGACAGTTATTCCATCACAACTTCACATATTTACACCCGACTATCAATGGCATAGCCAGGAATTCCGTCAAGAGTGCTTAATAATTTTTTTTTGTCAATGAATGAATGGTGTACGGATTATTTTAGATCAAACTAGGCAACATATAGCTAAACGATAAAAAAAAAAAACTTTTGATAGAACTATAATTTTATAAATCAAACTTAAAATAACAAAAACAACATTAGAAATTTTACTAATAAGAGTAAGCTTATCAATTGAAAGAGAGACTTTATAGTTTGCAGAGAGCTTTTGTTGAAGAAATTTTTGTAGAGCTTGTCTTTTAAATTGTAAAATTTACTTAAGAAATAACTTTTAGTTAAAAAATTACTTTTATGATTAGTTGTTTATTTCTACACAAATTTTAGGTTTTATGAGTTATTTTATTAGATCTAAAACAAATTAAATTGCCCACACATGGGTTTAGTTTTGACAAATAAAATAGGCAGAACTCACGCACGGCCTAGGGCGGCTACGCCACTGCCGACTATACTTTGCACGGAGAAGAACAATTAATTAGTAAAAGAAATGAACAGATAATTACGGATTGAGGAAAATCAGAGTACGTAATAAACTAACCAGACACAAATGCTCGATGTGATTCCTGTCAAGCTCTGGGCTAATGTTGAGAAGGGCATCTAAAACATCAACATTTGCATGGTTTCTCAATTTCCTTTCCTTTAGCCGCTCATCAATCAAACCACTCATAAGGTCAAGAACCTTAGTAAAATGATCGGTCATGCGCCGCCTTATACCTTGTGGATCAATTTTCACGAGAAAGGGAAAATAGTCCACCAAATTGGGTTTACCAGCCTCGACCATAATGCCCCACACCAAGTCCTTAAACTCCTTAGCAGAATCAGAAAATGGGTCACTCAAATCTTTAGAGAAAATGGTGTTTGACAGCAAATTCAGGGAAGTTCTAAAAGCTGCTCTGCCAATATCCACTGTTCCACCATTTTTGGCACTCTTGTGAAAATGATCAACTAGCTCCTGGATCTTTTTAGTTCTGAGATGCTGATTAGCATCAAGCTTACTACCTGAGAACACAAGTCACAAAATCAATCTAGTTTCTAGTCAGTCGCTCAATTTGTGAAAGTTCAAATAGATTGAGTTATAACTCGTTAATTGATTTGATCTAATGTGTTAAACTCGAAATGCCAAACAAGCTATTGCATCAAAATGAATGAAAAGGGTAGTCGAAGGGGTCAAAATGCAATCGTCTATTTACCTGAGAAGATGTTAGAGTTCATAATCTTGCGAAGTGTTCTCCAGCGAGTGTTGACAGGTAGAAAAACAACAGAGGAATCAGAGTGATTTCGGGCACGTAGTGCGTCTGCGACAGACCTATTGGCAAAGACTAAATCTCGCTTTTGCATGACTTCTCTGGCCAATACTGACGAGGATATAACCACTGTGTTTACTTGGCCTAATTTGAGATTCATAATTGGACCATAAATTTTTGAGAGTTTAGCAAGTGATTTGTGGGGTTTGTCACCAAGCAAGTGAAGATTTCCAATAATAGGCAAAGGGAATGGACCTGGTGCAAGTCTCTTCTTGTTTTTGCTTCTCTCAAGTGACATCACTCCATACACCAAAATCCATATGAACAACAATCCTAGCAAAATGGTCACGCACTCCATTTCTCTTTTCTTCTTGTAAGTTTGGGATGCTTAATCTTGCTTTATAATGGAGGCTAGTTAGGGTTTTATGGGCAATGAAGTCATAGGAGTGGGCAAGATTTTCAATTTTCATAGGAGTGGGCAAGATTTTCATAGGGGTGGCTCGTGAGGTTTTACTACCACTTTATTAGTTTAATTTTATTGTTTTAATATTTAAAAATCAACAGAAAATACAAAAAAAAAAAAAAGATTCATTTCTTTTTTCAAGGATAGAAGGAAGATGAGTGCAGGCTACAATTCATTCCAACTTTTAATATAAAGTCACTCAGTCTTTTGTTGAATTTATCAAAAAAATTAGTGTAGTTGTCTGTGCTTCGCGCGATTATTAAAAAATTAAATAGTTATGTTATTATTTCTATATACAAATAATGTATATACTAATCTCTGTCATATATAGATGATTTTACCATCTTTCATGATTCTTCTCAAATCGTTATATAATTTTAGATCCTATATAAAAATTAAAGAATCTGTGAGAGCATTTCAGATTAAATATTGAAACTTATTAAAACTCATCTAGATCAATATATGTGAGCTTGAATTGGAAACCTATAAAATAGAAAAACTAAAGAAAAGGAGAAATGATGATGTAAAATTTAGGAAAGTAAACCTAAATATCGCATGCTTTCTTTTCTTTCTCTAAGGCATTTTTGTTAATATTTTATTTCTTAGTTCTTACTATTAATTGTTTACACATATGTTTTATAATATTATATTGATAGTTTCTCATTAATTTATCGCAAATAAAATTTAAACAAACAGTAAAAAGAGAAGGAAACAGAAAAGAACATAGAAAAAGAGAAGGATACAGAAAAAGAGAAGATTTTTTTTTAAAAAAAGAAGAGACCATCTATTAAATTATCCCTCTCTTGCATGAAAATTTCTGCATCCAATCCCTTCTTCCTTTCTAAAACTCCAAATTATGGAGTCTCTGTCATTTCTTTCCTCGTTCTCTTTACCCTCGCTTCAACACAAAATATTGATCTCAATCCATAGTCAAATTATGTGTTTCTCCAAACAACGTAGACTCGAGCAACTTTGTTTGATACCATCCTAGAAATAGATAACCATAAACATTAGAAGAATAGGATCCCTACTTATGAAAATTATTTATGGTCAGTCTTCCATCATTTAGTGTCAAAATACAAGGGCAGAAAGAAAAAAGTGAACTATTGAACAATATATTACTCCGTAGCAATACTATGCATGTCTAAATTGAAAAGTGGCTATATTAAAATATTAGAGAAAGAGGACGGTACTCAGAGGAGCAACACAAGAATTAAAAATGGCACAAATTTCTAACTCAACTTATATAAACAATGGATATTTGTATTCGTTCCAAATTAATATCACTTCGATTATGTATTACTGGATAAGCTAGTGGCTAATAATAATTGTTTTAAATATAAAAAATTGTGTTAATCCCTTAGTATAGTAAATACTCAATTTTAAGTCGTCTGATATCTTAACTCTCTAGCAATATTTTAAATTTAGGTAACTTTAACTTAAAAACAAAAAGGAAACAATAACAAACAGATAAGAAACGAAACATTACATTATTAGAATTCTTAGTAAAATAATTGGTTAAGAGGATATGATTGTCATTATCTTGAATAGCAGCTACATGGATAAATAATAAACCATGAAAAAGAAAATTTTCTTATTTTTCATAATTCAAAAAGAGATGAGAAATAAAATGAAAATGGAAAATATATAAAAAGGGAAAAATAATGAATCACATCTTCCCATCCATTGTTTTCGTGGATTGAAGCCAACTTTTCTCAAGAGTTCTCTTTCTCTTCCACTTCCTTTTCATCGCCAACCACGCACAACACTGATACCACCTCCAGCGACGGCAACCGAAACACTATTGTCTTCGGAAGGCAGTGAAGCGACCCTATTTACCGTCACACTAACCAGACACAAATCAGACACAAATGCTCGATTCCTGTCAAACTCTTCTGGGCTAATGTTGAGAAGGGCATCTAAAACATCAACAATTGCATGGTTTCTCAGTTTCCTTTCCTTTAGCCGCTCATCAATCAAACCACTCATAAGGTCAAGAACCTTAGTAAAATGATCGGTCATGTGCCGCCTTATACCTTGTGGATCAATTTTCACAAGAAAGGGAAAATAGTCCACCAAATTGGGTTTACCAGCCTCGACCATAATGCCCCACACCAAGTCCTTAAACTCCTTAGCAGAATCAGAAAATGGGTCACTCAAATCTTTAGAGAAAATGGTGTTTGACAGCAAATTCAGGGAAGTTCTAAAAGCTGCTCTGCCAATATCCACTGTTCCACCATTTTTGGCACTCTTGTGAAAATGATCAACTAGCTCCTGGATCTTTTTAGTTCTGAGATGCTGATTAACATCAAGCTTACTACCTGAGTATATATGTGATAAAATCAATCTACATTAAGTAATCCACTCAACCAACTCGAATTTGTTTAATCATATTCAAATATGAACATATTTTAAATATAAAAATGATAAAAAATAGTATTTAGTTTTAAAATTTATTTAAAATAATAAAAATAGATTTGTTTAACAGATGATAGTTTTTTATAGTCAATAAAAATTTTAAAAAAAGTTTCAAAGATATTTGTGTTTAATATTAATTTTTTTAAATCTTTATCTCTTAATATTATTTATTTAGTATTAATCTAATGTGTCATTTTGCTAAATGTGGGTCTTTTATTTATTAAATTAATGGGTATAGCTTGGCTGATAAATTAATGAACTTTGATTTTTTAATTTTCGTTAACATATTTTATTAGGCACGATTAAGTACGTGAACTTGAGATTAGTTCACGGTAATGTTCCTGACAAATTTAATAATGCTACTTATATATCTTAAAAATTAATATTAAGAAAAAAATCAAATGTACAGATATATTACATAAATGGGAGGATTTATAATGTCAAGAGCATAAAAGCTTTTTCAGCTGGAAGGTTTGTAAAATCTGGTTAAAATGATTATTGTACTAACTAGAGCATAGTAAAATGATTTTTGTGTAACCAAAGAAAGAAAAATGACTTTTGGGTAATGAACACAAAGTTGAATGGTCATTCATGAAATTTACTTCTTTTATCAAGTTGACCCGCCCAAGTTTGACTCAACCTGTCCGTTTTGCAACCAGAGGCGAATATAGTGTTGAACCGATGAGTTGAACTGAACTCATAACTTTCGATGCGGAGTAAAAATTTATATGTGAAAAACTATTAAAATTGTAAAAATAATAAATATGAACTCATAATCTATACTATATTAAAAGCACGAAGGCCCTTAACAAAATGTCGTTCGCCTTTTTTACCCCCTAAAAATAAAGTTCATACTAGACAAAATAGTCATTTAATTATTTCCCTAACATTTTGGACTTTGAAATCAACTAAAAATTTATTTATTAAATGCTTCCTTATTTTAACTATATACAAAATCCTAAATATGAGGACTCTTCTTAAATCCTTCTAAGTTTCCAAGTTTGTTTTTTAGCTATGCTAGGAACCGTTAGGCACTTTTTTTTTCCAAGCCTTTGCCCTTTTTGTTTTGATAGAAATAATTTAATCATTCTTGGTCTCAAGCTTAGATAGTTAACTATAATAAACTTCTATATTTGTCCAAATCCTCATCACGCATATTTATTTTTCAAGTTTTTAACCTTTCTGTTTTGTTATAAATAATTTAAATTATGCTTGAACTTAAATAGTTTAATATAATAAAATTTCATCTTTGGTCAAATCCAAATTATACATAATTTTTACATCTTTTTAGTCTATTTCTGTTAGACTTATCGGCTAATTTGGTAACCAAAAGCGAAAAACAGGCAAAATTAATTTTTTAGCAAATTGTTATTTTGAATTTTGGTTTCTTCTCTCTCTGTTTATTGAAATGGAAAGTTAACATTTTGATAGATTTAGTTAAAACCGCCCCAAAATATTGGGGTAACTGTACATATCATCATTAGAGCATTAGAATCTATATTTATACTATATTAAAAGCATAAAGGCACTTAGCGAAATGTTATTCGCTTATTTTACCCGTTAAAAAAAGATTTTATACTAGATAAAATAGTCATTTAATTATTTTTCTAATTTAAGGATTTTAAGATCACCTAAAATTTTATTATCATATTTTTCGTAATTAAACTAGGTAAAGGGACTTTAAAATCTGATAACACTTTTACCTTATATAAATTTCCTTATTTAAAGGCCATTAATATAGAGTTGTATTGAACCGTTTCTACGAGAATCTTTACTATGCAAAACGTGAGTTAGCAATTACGAACTCTCAAAACATAAAGATTCAAAACATATGATTTTTCTTACTATTTGAAAATCAAATTTTTATTGGAAAAAAATATAATTATTGTCAAATATTTAAAAATTAGAATAAGCTAATATTTAGAATTTAAAATTAATTAAAACTAACTTATTTCTTTTAATGTTGAAATAATTAATTTATTGAATTAACTAATTAGCAAATCCAATTCAATCATTTTACAAATTTATCATATAAGAAAAGTTATTTGATAAATTGACAAAACACTTAATTTATTTTTATAAGAAGAGTATCGATGGTGAAAGAAATCATAAAATATAGTAAAATCAATTATAGTGTAAAATTAAAATTCAAATCGGTAAAAATACAAATTAGCAATAAGATAAAATTGTAGAAGACAACCAGATTATAAATAAATTGTCATTTTTTTCTTTCTTGCATTCAGTCTAACAAATAAAAGCATCTCGCTAAATATTTATACTAAATTTTTTCTTGTAAAATATTAGTTCAATATTAGTCATTCTTTAAACTTAACATTGTTACTATCAAATTTTAAGAAGATATAATGCCAACTTTCTTTTATTTATTTTTAATATGTGTTATTTGTCAAATCTTTAAAGAAATTGTGATAAAATTTTCAGTATTAGGTCACATAAAAACAACAATTTTTATAAGTTTCGACATAAATCCGGGTAAATCACAATAAGTGTAAAGTCCCAAAAAATTTTGCTAAGTAATCTAAGATTTTGTGGTGCCAAGATAGGCTAATTATTTTATCTTGTGTGCAAGTGAGGGTTCATGATATAATGGATATCACCTAGATAAGTTAATAAGTGTATAAGTCATATTATAAGTAGTTTGGGGTCTAAGGAGAGGCCTAAGTCTAAGCCAGGTTGGAAATTTCATAATAGGCTAAAGTTGTAAGTGAATGCGCACAAGACCTCACTTTGGATAAGCTATAAAGTGTTGAGTGATGCACAACCTATTAAATTAAAACGACTTTGAGTCTAGTTCTCAACACAACAAATCGTTCGTCATTTGGAGGTGTATACAGAAAGTTATAACCAATTTACCGGACATGCGTCACCAGCGCGCCCAGGAGGGCGGCCGCGGCGAACCGCGGCAAACCAAGGTTTTTCTGCCTGTAAGCTGCGGCAGAACGCGGTGGAGCATGTAAAATATCTAAAATACCCTTGGTTAGTGTAAAAACCGAAGGGGTATTATATTTTCTTCATTTTTTTGATCATTCAAGCTCGAATTTTGGGGTTTTCTTCACCCTCTCAAGACCTCCAACCCCTCCCATCTTCAAGGTAAGAAATCTTTATTAACTTGGTGTAAAATTCCATTATTCTTACACTAGTATTGATGAAATCTACTCATAAAACACATAGATCTTCAAGAAATTCCTTCAAGAACTCAAAGGAGGGTTTTGCAAGATTTCTTCCAAAAGGTAATCCTACCCCCCTTAGACTTACATGTATGAATTTATTATGGGTATATGAGTGTGAATTAAGTATTGGTACTCTTGGTGTGGTGATTAGAAGTAATAAGTTCCTAATATAAATACATAGTCATTGTAGAGATTGGAAGGTGATTATTTGATGGAATTTTGTTGGTTGGGTGAAGATGGGTTGTCACACATATGTTGTTGGAAGTTATAAATTGGTTAGGAATGATGGTGGAATGAATTGTTGGTTAATTGTGATAGTTGGGTGAACCAATACTATAGTTATGAGGTGTAAAGATCTATACCTACAAGATGTTTAATGATATGTCTAAATGGCATAAGTTACGGAATTTATTATTAATATTGGCCCTATTGAATGTTGTATTGTAGATTGAGGTTGCCTAAGTGTATTGGATCATTGTAGTATCACTAAGGGTGAATTTGAGGTATGTGTGGCTAACTTTAACCTTTGTAAAGTCACCTTGTTTGGTGTACGAGTAATTGGTATGTGTTATTTATGTGGACCATTTGTGAATTCTTGTGATTAATATGCCTTGAACGTTGTTGGCTAACTTTAACCTTTGTAAAGTCACCTTGTTTGGTGTACGAGTAATTGGTATGTGTTATTTATGTGGACCATTTGTGAATTCTTGTGATTAATATGTCTTGAACGTTGTTGGCTAAGTTTCCTGATATAATGGTGTAAGTAAATGGCAACAAGCCAAGCATGTGTGTGTGAAGGTGTTTATGTGGTAAGAGCTGTGTAACAAATGATGGAAAGAAATCGTAATTAATGCAATTGAAACAACTGTGGTAATATCATACGTGACTTGTCGCGGCAATTATCGTTGTGACTTAAATTGTATACGGATTGTTGCATATAATGGAAATGGTATTGATGTCTATGAAAACTCTTTGTGAATTGTTGTGGTGTCGTGTGAAATGTAATTGTCTGATGGGATCGGGTTGCGCGCCGCAATACAAAGTTATAAGGTGTGGGTTGTGGTGATAAGGGTGGCCGAGGTAATAAAAGTGGAAAAGTGATCGAAATCACTATTAAAATGAAAATATGTGAAAGTTGTGAAACCATTGATGTGATGAAATAATGTTGAAAGGGGAAAAGGAGAGATTGTGGAACTTGTTTGGCTTTGGTTGTTCCTTTCATGTGCATTGTATTGTTGATTCTATTACTGTTTGTTACCTGTGTATTTCTTGATTTTACTTGGGGTAAAGTTTGTTCATACATGCCAGTACAATTCAAATGTACTGACGTCCCTTTTGCCGGGGGCGCTACATTCGTGTTATGATTGTAGGTGGTTCTATAGCAGGTACTCCAGTCCACCGACAGTAGCACTCCTTCACTTCCCGTCAACTGTATTGGTGAGCCCCTTTTTCCTCTCGGGGCTCTACGTGGCTCATGCCGTTTTTCCTCCCGGAAATCTTATTTTGGTATTTGCGTAAGGTATAGCCGGAGCCTTGTTACCGGCAAGTATTGCAACACTCTTTTGTATCCTTAGAGGCTCCGTAGACATTTGTGTGGGTGATGTATGGGTATTGGATAGGTCAATGGAACGTGTTGTAACCTTGTACTCTTGCTTTCTTCTACACTATAACTTGTATGGAACCTTGGAAATTTAACCACGTTTTAAATGTTGTGATATAAAATGAACTAAGATGTTGAATGTACTATCTTTCCTAGTTTAAATAAAGGTAAGCATGACTTCCTTATTCCTATCGAGTTGGGTAGATAGCGGTTGATAAAACTTGCTCAGTTGGGTCCACTCGGTTGAGCGCGGGTCGCGCCTCCCGAAGTTGGGGCGTGACAATAAAATTCCTTCATTTGTTAAGCTAACTAATGGGAATAATATTTATTATTTTAAAAAAAATACTTAAATTTTATTTTATAAAATAAATTATCTAATAATATGTATGTAATTTTTAAAATTTGTGTATTTATTGATATAGGTACACGCGCAAATCGCGTATCCTAAGACTAGTTTTAAAAATATAAAGGATTCAATACTAAAAATCTTCAAAGTTGAACCATAAAATTGAAATCTCGGATCCGTCTGTGCTCGCGACCAATATTACCTGAGAAGATGTTAGAGTTCATAATCTTGCGAAGAGTTCTCCAGCGAGAGTCATTGACAGGTAACCAAATAACAGAAAAATCATAGTGATTGCAGGCACGGAGAGCGTCAGGAATACACCTATTGGAAAAGGTCAAATCTTGTTTTTGCATGACTTCTCTAGCCAAGACTGATGAGGAAATGACCACTGTGTTTATTTGGCCAAACTTGAGATTCATAATTGGACCATGAGCTTTTGCGAGTTGAGCAAGTGATTTGTGAGGTTTGTCACCAAGCAAATGAAGGTTTCCTATAATAGGCAAAGGAAATGGACCTGGTGCAAGTCTTTTACAGCTTTTGGCTCTTCTAAGTGACATGAATCCACGCACCAAAATCCAGGCGAATGACAGTCCAACCAAAATGGGTACATACTCCATTTTTCTTTCTTCTTATAAATTTCTTGGCTTACGAACTAGAGATTTGGAGCTGCGCGCGTATCTTGGTTTATACTGGAGTCTTTGAGGCCTTGTCGAATATTTTTTCTATATCTGTATACTATATAAGTTTAAGAAGAAAGGTTTGGAAAAAGCTATATGATATTCCTTGTGTACTTTGCTACGTATGAATTATTAGTGCAAGTGTACATGATATAAACGTGTGATGGATGGATGCAATTCACCCGGAGCGAAATTCCTGGCAGGAAGTGTTTTCCTCTTAAATGAATTTTGCATGATTGTGATTTTGTATTAGTGGGGTCAATGGATTCTAAATATTAAATGACTATACAAAAGAAAAAGTTGATGCACAAATAATATTTATTCACACTTGATTTTTTTATTAAATCAAATAATTTGATCTTAATTATTCTTAAGAATCACAAATTAATAAAATAACATACTATCAATTTATCGGTTACATGATAAATATTTATATGAAAATATTTTACTTTTATTAGTTTGATTCAAACTGCAAACTACGGATATGAATAAAGTCCCATTTGATAGTATGGGCTATCCATTTTATTTGAAGTCCAACAATATTTTCAGTATTTTGTTGGGAAAATGGTTGGTGGTAGGGGCGGCTCCAATGTAAAGTCCATTACGCTCATTCAATTATTTCAATTTATCTTCTAAAGTCACTTTTCTTTCGTTTGTAACAACAAAGTCACTGAACTATGCCTATTACACTCAGAAGGTAACTCAACTAGATTTTCCAAATTTTGGATTGGCAAATACCTATTTTACCCTCTAAATTATAAATATTTATCTTTTTTTTTTTTAAAAAAACTTTTTTGACAGTGTTTGTTGTTTCAGTATTTTGATGGGGAAACAGTTGGTGGTTTTCTTATCATGTGAAGCGCCATTAGAGGTTCAGATGAATCCTATGTCAGCACAGATAAGAGATTTAGGCACTGCACAAGGTTGGCTAAAAAAAGTAATTCAAATATGAACAATTGTTTTAGTTCGATTTTTCAATAATTTCAAAACATTACTACTTGTGGAAAATTTGTAACTTACAGAACAATACTATTAGGGGTCGTTTGGTAGGATGCATTAGATAAAATAATATTTGCATTAGCTTTGTGTATTAATAATACCTTGTTTGGTAGACATTTTGAACCTATGCATTAGTTATGCAAGCATTAGTTATACATCATATTCTGTATTATCCTATGCATAACTAATGCATAGAAAACCATGGTATTAACAATGCAATGGGTTTTAATGCATGTATTAGCTTAGTTAAAGACAAAATTGTCCTTCAAAATTTATGCTTGATTAAAATATGCTAGTTATTATATTAATGCAAGTTTAAAATAATTCAAATAGTGAGAAACAAAATTATATCTCTAGTAAATAAATAAATACTTAGCATATTTCCTCTTTTGTAAATAAATATTTAGTTCTATTTTACAATATAGGCAGACAAATTAAATAATTTTTTAAAACTTTTTCATATAAAAATATTTCTCAACATATGTTTCTTTTAAAAAGTTTGAGTGATGGACTAGTTTTGAGGGTATTTTTGTAAACAAGCAATTTTTTTAAAAATTGTGCAATGCTTTAATACATCAAACCAAATAATGAATAAGAAATATGTCAGCATAACTAATACCAGCATAATTAATGCAAGTATAACTAATACCAGCATTACTAATACATCATATTCATCGTTATTGTTATGCACCCTACCAAACGACCCCTTAGATACAGTGAGGCAGGTAAAGTTGAATGCTTAGATCCGTCCAAAAGATGCAAAGATAGCCACTACTGTCTCATAACTCACATGCACGCATTGAAAGCAAAGCAAAATTTTGGATTTACAATATACCCGGTACTATGAGAAAATATTTAAATATATCTTTCGTTATACTTTTTGTCTAAATATATCCCCTATCGTTAAAAATATATTCCTCTTCTGTTAAGTTTGTCCAAAGTGAAGATCCAATCCACGTGATACTGATATTTGATGAGAAGAATGTCACGTGACATGCCACCTCGGCCCCTTTAATGCATTTTACCCCTCCCTTTTTTTTCCACCAAGTTTAGAACACAAAACAAACGAATCATCAAGAGTTTAAAGATGTTCCTAAATAGCAGGCTGAAAAGCGCAAAGCAGGAACGTGGAGATTAATACAGAGAAGCGACAAACAAGTAAGTCATCTTTGAAAGCTCAAAGCTAACAATACGAGATTCACAATAAAGAGACAAATCAGTGATAAAAAGTACTGAAGTGGAGAAAACAGTTGAAGCTTATTTTTTCCCAAAAAACATTTGATGAGGTAAAAGTGCCTCATGGTGTGAGAGCTAAATTAGGGTACAAATTACAAGAGGGATTATATAGTCATAGTAAGATTGGTTCCATGTTTATAGTACATAATGCACATCGAGATAAATTGTTCATGGTGGCATTAATGGTGACAATGATGGTGGAGGGAAAGAAAATTTTAGTGGTGGAAAAAAAAAAGAAGGGAGGGGTAAAATGGGTTAGGGGCGATGAGGTGTCATGTCACGTGGCACCACCTCATCAAATGTCAGTGCCACATGGATTAGATATTTACCTTGGACAGACTTAATGAAAGAGGGTATATGTTGGGAATAAATCCCTTACCAAAATAATATTCACGGTAATA